AATTGTAGATAAATTGTAGACTGTTTTTTGCAAAAGATTTTGTAGAAGTTTTAGTCGTTTTGGATTTGTGAAAACAGAAAACAATGCATCTACAATCAGAATACAAATAATCTATAATTTATCTACAAAATATCTACAAACTGGATACATTGAATTTTAATATCCCAATTCCCATTTCAATTGTAGATAATTTGTAGATATAGTAAAAATTTTGTAGTCTTCCATTTTATGATGTCAGACATTTTGAAATCAACAATTTCTAATTATAGATTGTAGTTTATTTTGACGTATAAATGTAGTAACTTTGTAGATAATTTTGAAAACAACATTGCTTTATTCTTTCATTAAACTGATTTGTAGTTTAATTGTAGGCAAATATAGTAATTTTGTAGATAATACCGTAAAACCATAATTCTATGCAATTTCGAACTATACAAACCTGCACTTGTGTTATCGTTGGTGATTGCCAATTCCATATTGAAATCTCGTACACTTATACATAACAGATATAAACCTAAGTTTTTATTCTCCTTTTTGGTCTCCATATACACACGAACCCCCATATCATTCTAAATTTTTTCGTTTTTTTGGATTTCTAGATTGAGAGAAAAAAAGATGAAGAACAGATATATGATCACCAATTTGATTTCTGAAAACGACGAAGAACAGAATATAGCAATTTTGAGTTGTTGAATCTCGAAGATTTGAATTCTACAATTTGAATTCAGTTTGTTGAAGCTGTTCGTAGTTTGTTGAAGCTGTTCGTACTTTTTTTTTTTGTTAAATTTTTGAATTGTAGTTTAAGAGTAAATTACGCAGATGCGAAATCTCCTTTCCGTTTCAAAACTTGAATTTAATGTAGAATAAATCAATCCCAAGATTATTTCCTGAATTTTCGCGCGTTATTAAGGAAAGATTCTGCCCTATTAATTCCTAATAAACGAATGGTACAGAAACTGTAGGAAAAATGTGGACTGGACGGGTAATTTAGATATTATGCACATATTTGGTAATAAAGTTTCATATATGGTATAGGAAGGAAAAAATTCCTTATACTAATAAGATCCTAAAGGTAATCATGTAGGATTGCTAACGTGTAGTATTATGTCCTAAAACTAATAGGATTATAAGGCTAATATCTACAATTCCGGTTATGTCCTTTTATTGTGGGTTAGTATGCTTAATATTATAAGGTTATTTTTGTAAATCGACATTGTATTCATGCTTTTATAATAACTAGTTTCTATGTACGTGTTTCACACGTAGCACCCCAACTAAGAAGGGCAATATATAAAGTAAGAGAATAAATTTAGAAGTGTACAGTACAATATACTTAGATTGATAGTGAACTATACTAATTCCATGCAACTTATATCTTGTATATGAAGATATTAAAGATATCACATTTGTAGCTAATTCACAATATATATGTTTATCACTATGCATTTAAAATGTTAGATTCTTAGTATTAGTTGATGCCATCTCTTTTAATTCACATAGTTGCTTTTTACTTCTTTTCTTCATAGCGGAATAGTAGATGTATTTTATTACTAACAAACCAAAATACCCGCATTACCTCTCCCTGAAAGGAGAAAGAAGGCTGAAATATAAAAAAGATTGAATTCACCCAAGCCTTGACTCCCTAAATATTCTTTTACATACATTTAAGTAATGATATTTAGTTTTTTCAATTCATTTGAAGCATTATTTTAATTACATGAACGCCACAACTACAAGGTTGCAATTAATTTTTAGAGTAAATAATTCTGCCCTACAATTTTCGCTCTTTTCTTTACTAGAATCCAATTTTAACTCTTAGAATGTTATGTCTCAGACTCAGCAGCTCACTTGATATGATGGACCTTCATCACCTTAATTTATGACAAAATAGCACGGGCTAGCCAATTTTTAGATTGGTTATTGAAAAATAGTCAGCGTTTGCAAAGTCATTAAAAAATAGCC